AGATACACGTGGTTATTCAGGTCTTTGAAATACATTGGAAAAAGCAAGAAAAGAAGTGCATTCTATGTGAACCCAGAGAATAAATAATGTCATGCGAAATAAAGATTAAGAATATACAGTTATGATGGAATATATATGTATATATATATATATATATATATATATATATATATATATATATATATTATATATATATATGTATGTATGTATATGTGTATATATACTATATATATATGTATATATATAATATATATTCATATATAGTGTATATATATATATATATATATATATATATATATATATATATATATATATATATATATATATATATATATATATAAGAAAATGAAAATAGCCTCAATGAAAATTGAAAATAATCGTATTTCGAACTCTTCACGAGTTCCTCCAGACAAGAAAGAAATGGATCCATTTCACACACACACACACACACATATATGTACGTATGAATGTGTGCGTGTGATCCGACGCCCACGCATCAACGAAACCGCGTCGAACGGCTCCTCGTGAAGCGGCGACCGAGGCGAACGCGTCGAGGCGAAGGCAACGCCGCGGCGCCCATTCAGCGCACGGGCGTCGAAGGCTCACCTGCGTTCGATTCCTTGCACTCTCGCTCAATAGTTTTCATGCTTGCGGGCGGAGCGCTGGCCCGGATAATTAATTGCGGATCGGCGAAGGCTGAGGCGCAGATCGAACATGGCGCGGCGACTGATTGAAGTTGTTTGTGGGAGCCAATTCCTCGTAGGATTTCGGTGTCCGTATTGATGGTTGAAGGCCGGAGCAGCTGGGTTGATTAATTGGTTGTGCTTCATGGCCATGCTTTCCTTTCTCCTCCTTATGTACATACATACATACATACATGCAAACATACAATGTACTCGTACACTCACTCACACACACACGATATAAAATTTTCTTTTCTTTAGATCTATTATTACTCTGCTTGGTATGAATGATATTTAACAGTACAATTAAAGTTGCGCGTGACGACCCTCCGTCCGGCCTGACCCAAGAGGCAGCACATTTGGTACCAGCAGATGGTGGTCAAATGATGCACCTGTGATACCGCTTATTGTACATTGTATAAATGTTTGTAAATACCGTGTTCATCTCATAGTTCCGTAGATACAATATTTTGAGAAGGAAGAACATGAATGAGCAAACGAGCAAAATGTATCGAGGAAATGATAACGATGTGGATATTCTGAGCGAGCGAAGAGCATTTACCCCGAGGCTTAAAACCGTCGTTGTCATCCTTGGGTTTGTATATTCTCCCTGGGGAATGTTTTCGCCTTCATGTTATTTCTTTATAAGGGAAACTTTCCAGAGAAGAAAAAATAAGGAAATGAAATATACATTTTGCACGAGCTAATATGAATGAAATACATTTTATGATACGGAGATGCAAATCATTGTCCTTTTTTATGATCAAGGCTTATAAAGAATAATAATTTTGATTAGGTTTGCCTCTAAGATATACAGCACTCTTCTTTCCATCAAAACCAAGGTCATTTTTCCCGTTTTATTTCCAAACAAATGCACGTTTTAATGCTGTTTTTTTCATTCCACTCAAAGAATTAACTAGAAGGAATGCACATTTTGGCCTAAGCTTATACCATTCATTAAGCATAAAGGCTCTAAAGAATTCATTTCAAAATCAGCATACATACTTATCCATGTTTACTTCGCATACTACATAGATAACCCAATTTTTGTATCGAGGAAACAATAAAATTCGTATATCAAAAAAGTGTTTCCATTACCATATACCCCTCGTGATATTCTGCTTCTAATTTCAACGAACATAAGATTTTATAAAAAAGAATATTTGCCATGAAAAGCCTTATACATCATACCACAGAACGAAGTCAAATGGAAAGGAAGCGTTGAGTGAAAAAAAATCGATATGGCGGCTTCTCGTCTTTTTTTCTTATTTTTTAAAAATAATAAAACTCCCTTTTGTGACAGAAAAACATGGCTCAGTTCAAGAGCTTCCCTTACAAAGATGGAATCCTTGAATCTGATGATGATAATGATGATGTGAATGATGATAAATGACACATAATAATGTGAATGATAATGATAAATGAAACTGATAATAACAATGATAATGATAACAATAGTGATAACAACAGTAATGAAAACGATAATAGTAATGTTGATAATGAAAATGGCAATAACAAAAATGATAAAAGTAGTAATAATAACAAACATTGTGATAATGATAATGTTAATAATGGTAATGGTAATGTTGATACGGATGATGATGATAGTAACAATGATGATAATAAGACAATGAAAATAACAGCAATAATGATAATGATCATTAAAAATAATAATAATAACAACAATAATAATAACAATGACTAAAGATAATAATATAATTACCATTACTATAATCATTACTATAATCATTATCATATACTATTATCAGCATTACTACCATTATCATTACTATCAATTTCATTATCATTATTGCTGT